GGAAGGAAGGGAATGCAATAGGATTTTTCTTTTTAACTAGATTATTATATTTTCGGTTTATAAATTTAAAGATTAAATGCTTTGCAATCACAGAGCAAAGAAGATAGCCATTCCTTCTTCAACAAAAATATGAGCTATAAGGGTATTTTAAACTTCTCGGAGCATTACATACTGAGAAGTACGTATTTGGCATGTTCACATTCTGTTAACATTTGACCAAGAGGACCATAGCATTCCCCTTGGCCTGACTCAATTTTAGACAGGATTCTTCCTGACTACAATCTCCTGACCTCCATTTTTTCTGACCAATTACAAGAGATAATTTCTCATAGCAAATTCTTTCTCTGACCCTTTGTAATGTAGATAAATCTCCCAAACTCTTTCAATTTGGGGATGCAGGATGGTCTTTCTCAAAAGCCTGAAAACCATCCTTTTCAAATGTAGACATCAACCGAGATAGGACCCCATCTCTCAGTCTCTATGGGAGGGCAGAAGCCTAACTTCTCTAGGAGCCAGTCACACAGCTGTTCTACTCACACTGGCCATCCTCCCCCTCCCCACACGCGTCCTCTAGCACTTTTTCACTAGCTCAGCCCAGCGTTTAAAAATTCTCCTGGATTTTGTTTCAACAGAGTTAAGTTCATTTGTCTCCCCTATTGCAATGGTCTTGACCTTTATTGCAATAATTTGAATTACATCTTCCTTGCCATTGCTAACAAGTGCCCACTGCAATTTCTCTTTGCCACATTTTAGTCAAGTTATTTTGCACTGTCATTTTATTTATATAGCTGTGAATGACTTACAAAATTACATATTTTTAAAGAGTAAATTTGACCATATGGTAAACTGTGAGGATGATTTTTTCCTCCCTGGAATAGTGGGATTTAAGTCTGTTGACACTTCCTCCTCAAAAACTGTTGCACTCATGCATGCCCACATCAAAACTCTTGTTTCTCTCCTACATTACTGGTCCCACCTACTCAGTCTACTTTGCAAGATTCTCTTTCTCTACTGAATCCTTAAATATTGCCAATCCCAAAGGTTCTGCTCAAGTTCGTTCATAGTCTCGCTTTTTATTTTCTTCCTGGGTGATATTACATATACTACAAATACTACCTACAAATATTCTAGTAAGTCTAAAATCTCTATTGTTAAATTCAATAGTATCTTTTCTTTTCTGCTTTTACCTGACCTGTAAGCAGCAAATAAAACAGGTACTAACCTCTCCTCCTTGGAATACTTTTTAGTTTCTATGTTACTATACTCTCCTTGCAAATTTTATTTTCTAGTGTTCCGACTCCCAAACACTAATACTAAAATATCTGTGTCTCAGTCTTTAGACTGATTCTTGTCTCCGTCCATACTCTTTCTTTAAAGGATCTCATCACACTGCAAAGTTTTAAATATCACCTACAAGGCTAGTAATTTCAAATGTGTACTCCAGAGAATTACAGAAAAAATGCTCTTTATTTCAGGAACTACGGTCTTCATGCTCTGTTCATTTATCCAACTAGTTATTATTGGGAACCACACTGCAAGTTGACAAGAATATAAAAATACATCCATTCATTGTTCACAAGGATCTTGGAATCTAGAAAACACATGAAACTAGAAATGACTCATTTTGCAAACACGTAAGATACATTCAAACTATGGATAGAGAGGCAACAAAATATAATGGTAACATGCATGTATTCCGATGCTAGCACTCGGGATAAAATATCTCTCTCTTTACATAGGAAGTAGCAACTTCCCTGGGCCTCAGTTTCTTCACCTGGAAAATGAGACACATTATATATTTCCCTCACATTTTTTTTTGAGAATTTTTGAGAATTGGTCTAATGTTTATAATGATGCTAGAATCATGCCTGGGATGTTGTAAATATATATTTGTTTAAAATAGTTTGATTATGTGGCATGTGAGTTCAGTTTTGCAGTATAGTTAAAATTCCAATAGGAACTGACAAGGGCATTTCAGGAAGAAGGGTCGATGTGAACAAACTCTAGAGAATGTAATTTATATTTTGAAAGACAAGCAATTCAGAGTGTGAACAGGAAATGTGTGTGTATATATATATACACATAGACAATTGTGATCAAATCAAAGAGAGTGATAAATACCAGGCCAGTGAGTTTTGTACTTTTATGTGCTGGCATTGGAAAATCTATTGAAGTTTTGAGTACTGAAGTCAGAAAACTGTGCTGTAGGAAGTTTTGTCTGCTCTGCCCTTTGCTGTGAATTCATCTCTGCCTCATGCCTGAAGCCTCCTGTGGTCACGGTGTCACTGTCAGTGAGCAGAAGTAGAAAAAACAATTCTCATTCTCAAAAAAGGGAGGATTCCACAATATTACAAGTGCACTGACATTCTGAGTTCTGGCCTATGAGCCAGATTCTGTGAAAAGAATGAATGATCCACTGAGTCCGTAAGGAGATGAGTAGACTCTAATGCAATCACCGGTGAAAGGAGCTCGTTCCTATTAGAAATGTCGATTTCCATCTTTTCACATGATGCACAAGTTGAAAAAGATTATTATAAACATGATTAGTTAGAGTTGTTATAAATAACTGGAGGAGTCAGAATAAAAGCTCCAATGTGATCAATAGGGTTGGGTAGCCTCATCCTGAGAAGTGTTTACAAAATAGGGCGAGGGCGCTGGTCTCAAGTCTCTTACATAAACTGTGTTGCTTCCCAAATCTTCTGTCCAACTCAGCCCAGATAAGACCATCGAACTTACAACTTTATTGGGTAAGTGGATTTACCACCCAGGACGTTTAAAAAAATAAGTGTATAGTAAATTAAGCCTACTTTTTTTAAGTTTGGGAATAGGTTGTCTAATTAGGGGGGGTACTGTGAAGACATCCATGTTTAAATAAAGCATATAAAATATTTAAATTTGACATATATAATTTTAATAACTATAAAATGTAATTGTACTTACAATAATTATAAAATACAAGTCATCTTAAATATGTAAATGTAGTATGTAGAGATTCAGAAAATTGTGAGATAAATTATTTCCAAAATTGTTTTAATTTTAAGCTTATTATGTGTCCAGATAGACAGATGTGTTTGAAAAGTTTGAGAACATCAGATATGTTAAATTTCTAAGTATGTCAGCTATTTATAATTCCAAGTTCAAAGAAATGTTTAAAGCTAGTTTCTACAGGAGTCGTTGGTAGCAGTTCATCTGCATTCTGTTTCAGGGTTTCCTTTACACCATATAGTCTGTCCACAGGTTTCTAAAATTAGTTCGATTTTGGATATGGGGGAAGTGTTGCACCGTGAGAGTCTCTAAAAGTTTTACATTGACATTTTACTTTATCAAAAACCCTGGGTCCTACCAATTCAAATTAAGTAGCTTAAGTTTAAATTCATTTGCATATTTATTATAATTTTATTTTTACTTTAAACTTAGGAAATGCTTATAGGCAGTATTTCAGAATTATTTCTGGAATACAATGTATTCTAAAATACATATGGCCAAATCAATTTCACAAGACATTTTAAGAGCTACTAATCATCCCTGTTATGTCTCAATTGGATAATCCATGGCAATTCATGTATACTTCATTCTTAAAATATGTCTATTTCCTAAGTCAATCAGAGGAAGACAATTATCATATGATCTCTCTGATATGGGGAATTTGAGAGGCAGGGTCGGGGGTTGTGGGGGGAAGGGAGGGAAAAATGAAACAAGATGGGATCAAGAGGGAGACAAACCATAAGAGACTATTAATCTCACAAAACAAACTGAGGGTTGCTGGGGGTGGGGGGTAGGGAGAGGGTGGATGCGTGATGGACACTGGGGACAGTATGTGCTATGGTGAGTGCTGTGAAGTGTGTAAGACAATTCACAAACCTGTACGATAATTCACAGACCTGGACCGCTGAAGCAAATATATTATATGTTAATAACATTTTAAAAAATTTAAAAAAAGCAAATTAAAAAATGCCTATTTCTTACCATATTAAATATTTGAAAATGAAGCAAAATGTTGGCTACTATTATTTACTGGCATAAAATTAGAAGTTCCATTTTTGTGAAATCCAAATTGTTTTCACCTAGCTTCATTGAAAAATTCAAATCTATTGAGAATAATTTATATCATAGTAAGTATATATTTCTATATATACATATATACACACATACATACACACATTCAGTATTCTGAAACCTGTCTATATATCTTTAAAAATGTTTTATGACATTGAATAGGCTTCTATGATTTCAAATGATGCCTAAGAAAAATTTTCATTTACTGGAACTGAAAACAAAGAACCATCTACTTTAAGCTTTACATTTTGCAGATGAAAAAAGTGAGTTCCACAAGAGAAAATGTGTGAAATAAATTGTGAAGTGAAAATAAAGAAAGAAAGAGAAAGAACGAGAAGGAAAGAGAAAGGAAGGAAGGAAGGAAGGAAGAAGGAAGGGAGGGAAGGAAGGAAGGAAGAAAGGAAAAAATTAAGTGAAGTAATGCTGGTGTGTTTCAAAATAAGTCTGCTCTCTATTCTTTACATATCTAGTAACTCATGTGACATTAGGTTTCTTTTGTGTCGAGGTGTCTGGTACAGTAGTTAGCTACACAAAGAATTCCAGCTCGCTCTCTTCATGTTTATGTTTATGTATCATGTTTCTTTATGCTATGATGAATAAAAATATAAAAAGTAATTGAAATGTGATTACCTATTCTATAGAATTACCCAAAAAAGGACTTTTCTTTATTGTATTGACAAAGAATAAATGATTCACTGTGAATCCCCAATGTTAGCAGATTTTTCAAACATCTGAAGAATTTGAAAGTAGAAAGCTTGAAGCTTACATTTTATTTTTTTAAAAAGACATTTAAATTATACAGAGCTCACAACATAAAAACAGTAATTGATATAGGTAAAATAAGATTATTTTTATCGTTTCAAAATGGGAGGGATGGTAGCAAAAGTTATTAAATATAATATATGGCAATGTTTAGACATTAGCAATTTATTGCCCGTCCTTACCTGACCAGAGCCTGCATTTTCACAAACATATGTGTCATAGTATTCAGAGAACTCAGGAGCATGATCATTAATATTAAGAACTTGCACATACACAGGAACTGCAGAAGTTTGTTGCACATTGTCTGCAAATTGAATAAACAGAATGAAAATAAAGAATGTTAATGCTATCTTTAGGGGGACAGAAGGTCATGAAAATTGCAGTAGACACTGGGTGGCATATTTCTAATTTCCTTGAATAAAGGCTACCTGAGCATAGACTCTTTATCAATCATATATTTATCAAGAATACAGCCTAGGAAAAAATGTTCTCGACACATTCAACTCAGCCAATACCTACCAAGTGCCTTTTCCTTGCCAGAGACTATAGATAGAGCTGATGAGGAAAAATAATGAAAAAGATGGTCAGGTTTAGGGACACCTTCCTAAAATCCAGCAACTGTTGAATATACGTATATTAATGCATTTAATTCATTTAATAATGAATTACCACGCTCCCTAGCTTTACTGATAAAACCACCGTAAATTTAGTTCCACAAATTACAGACAAATGGCTGGTCTAAGGTCATAGCTGAAGTAGAAAGGGCAGTTTAAGAAGCCAGCAACAAGTGCTCTTAACAATGGCACTGTTTGGTACAATTTTTAAAAACAAAAACAGACAGAGAATAAGGATCTAAATAAATTTTAAAATAGAATAAACAAATCCAGGTAAAGTTTTATGTATACATTTAGTTGGGAGGATTTTCTTGTGAGCCAAGAAATAAAGAAACTATGAAGGAATGGGAAGATATGGTTAAATACATTTTAAAATGCTGTCCTCGGCCCACCCCCACCCCCACCCCAAAAAAACAAATAAAAAAAGCCACAAAAACAACAAGACACCAGCGAACTGGAAAAATGTTTGCATCAGAAGATGCAATTTTAATAGCTCTAATTTACAAATTCTGACAGTTGATATCAAAAAAAAAAAAAGCAATTTGGGGAAATAATCACAAACTAGAAATTCATGGATGAGAAAATTCAAATGATCCATGCCAGTTTTTCAACTTCGTCACTACTGATAATTCTTTGTCTCAGGGGGCTCTCCTCTGCACTGTACAGTGCTTAGCAGCATCCCTGACTTCCAGGAACTCAGTGCCAACAGCACTCCCCACGCTTGTGACCATCAAAATGGGCTTCAGACATTGTCAAAGGTATCAGGAGGCAAAACCGTCCCCATCTGCTCTTTCATAATATTCTTTCATAATATTCACACACACTCTGGCTCACAGAAGGGCAGGTAATGATGACTTAGTTTGTGGGTTCCGTGTTAAATACAGTGGAGCACAGTGATTATGGAGCACTGAGAAATAGTAGGGATGTAAATCTTTTCTGGAACTTAATCTGGCAGTAGATGGTAAGAGATAAGCTACACTTATCTTTGACCCCGGAATTCCTTTGGGAAATCTATGCTACAGTCCAAGGCACTAGTATATTCAAAGAGTATGTGATCCAACTTATTTATTCCAGAATTTTTTTTCATCTCAAATAACTGAAAATAACCCAAATGCATATCAAAAGGGAAATGAGAAATAAATTACAATCTCACTGTGAAACTGTGTGCGCTTATTAAAAATGAATGAGCTAATGTAATAAACGCATGAATACAGTGAGCTTTAAAAATAGATTTTAATCTTGATCCTCAATTTGACAAAAATGCTTAACCACTGTCTCAGCTGCCTCTCTGCAAACTGGAAAAGATACTAGTAACTAACCTTATAAGAGCTGTTAAAAAGATTCAATTAATTGAAACATATAAAGCATTTATAAGATTACTTAGGATATACATAAGTAATAAATGTTAAATATTATTATTTTATATATCTACTAATCAGCAGTGATAATACATGGCATTTTGCGAAATGATAAAGAAAGCAAGTTTCTGCTATTGTGTATTTGCATATCATTATTTTAAATGTTTTTTTTTAATTTCAAAAAATGCTGTGGGAAGGTACATACAATTAAAGAGTGAGAAGAAGGTTTCTTTGTTGTTTTAATGTTTTTATTTATAATATCCTCTTCTTATGTTATTGCAAAAGCATTATATTTGCAATTGTAATTTGTATGGGCAAATACATTTAAAAAAAAAAGGCTTAATTCTCCCTTTTGAAAGCAAGGAAAAGATTTTCCCTCTTTCCTCTTCTTAAAGCATTTACTTTAGAAAACTTGTAATTTAAGTTCTCTCTCTCTCTCTCTCTCTCTTTTAAATGTATGTAAACCCTTTAAAAGCTGAATAAATGTCTTGCCAACTTCACAACACAGGCTTGTCTTTCTCAAGTACGGAAGCCAACTCTATGAAATATAATTATCAAGGAAAATAACACTCCTTTCTCCTAATTTCTGTTGGAGCCTCATTTCAGCAAAGCCTTTGACCGACGCTCAAAACCACCTCTTGTCATAAAGGTCTGAGAAATTTAGTTTTCCTTTGGATAAAGCCAGTTAGTAAAAACAGATAGTCATGTCATCTACCTAGTAAACATAGAGTGAACTATGTGCGACACACGGTGTGAAGTCTTCCTACTTGAAGGCCAGTAGTGGGTTATGTGGAGAACATGACACTTGATTCTACAATAAGGTGAAATTTCTTTCTGACTTGGAAATCTCAGTAGTTGCTGTAATGCACCATCAAATTCTGTTTGAATGCTTTTCAATTATAAAACTGTTTTCTCTCTATTCCACTATTATGGAGTTGTTTTCTGGGATGGGATGATCTTGTTTGTAACTATTTTTCCAACAAATAACAGTTGCAATTATGACAGAAATTATAATTTCCAGTTAACTAAAAATTATAATTTGCAAGGTTTATTACATACCAAAAAATCTAGCTCTTAGTTTTTATCATCTTAAGACTTATCATAAGAATTATCATCTTGAGACTCTTCTCTATTGTGTTACGCTCAGGATAAAAATAGATAAAAAAAAATTAAGATATAGCAATTTCCAGAGATTACAAGATAGAATTATTCAGAAATTAAGGCTCATATATTTTTTGGCTTAAGCATATACCCAAGAACAACTTTTTGCTTAAGTAAGTAAAGCAAAAAAAGTATTTCACACACAAATAATTTAAAAAAAAAGAATAAGAAATTTATTTAAAGTTTTTATATTTTTTTACCTGGAAATTCTGTTTAAATTTAAGTTTAAATTAAAATTGTTATGGCTGTATAAAACATACGTATGTTTCACAGCTTCATTTAAAAGTGGTTGGTAGCTTTATTCACTTAGGTGGCATGCTGATAAATAGGTTGGTGTTTAATTTGGGAAGGTTTCAAGGAAAGAGACTGAGTACAATGAACTTTATTTCCTGGGGAGACAAAAGTTAAAATGGAACATCTCTTTTCTATAATCAGCATAACTGTTCCACCGTAAGTTTCAAGTTATTCACCTTGTGCAGCAAATGTTTGTAATAATTTTTGTGATTCCCAGTTTTATACCAGTCAGGTTGTTTTGTCCATATCGCTATTGAAACTTCTATGGTCAAAAAATTATTTTTTTAAAGATTTGTTTATTTATTTTAGGGAGAGAGAAAGAGAGAGCGTGAGCCAGGAGAGGGGCAAAAGGAGAGACACTCAAGCAGACTTGCTGCTGAGCACGAAGCCCAACTTGGGGCTTGATCCCACAACCCTGGGATCATAACGTGACCCAAAACCTAGAGTCAGATGCTTAACCAACTGAGCCACCCAGGCATTTCTCAATTATTTTTGATATTGATACCCCATTAATAAGAAATTGGCACATACAAATATTTTCTCCAAAACTGTTCTAAAATAAGTTCAAATGATGTGGAACAAGAAAAAAATTTCATAGAGAGGAAAAGTACATAAAAATTGGTTACTTGGTGTTACAAAAGTTTCTTCAAGCAAATTTTTCTTAAAATGAAACAAAAAATTCAAAAAGTCTTCAAAGATGAGTTAAATATACACTAATTTTGTAGCTTTCTGAAAATGTTTATCTAATTATATTTTACTTTGGAATTTCAGTCCCAGTGCTGTAACTTTTCAGCTTTATAATAAAAATAACAATGGGAATATCATTTTTTATCTAAAAGTATTATTTTTTATTCTAAGAAAACTGATTTAAAATGCCAGGAGCAGAACAGCATGAACTGTATAATTCTTGTACTTGATAACATTTCTAATCACTTATTTCTGAAACAGTGATTAACTTCTAAGTATTAAATTCTGTGTAAAATAAATGTATTCAGTTTATATTCCATGTGCCTTTCATAGGCATTTATAAGTTTGTTTTCCTTGACTGAATTTTTAATCTTCTTTTATTTATAAATTATTATTATTATTTTACAGACTTATTTATTTGAGAGAGAATGAGAGTGGCACATGTGAGCACGGGCCAGCGGTGGGTGGCAGAGGGAGTGAGAGAGAGGGATCTCCAGCAGAATCCCTGCTGAATGAGGAACTCCATGCGGGGCTGGATTCCTGGACCTTGAGATCATGACCTGAGCCAAAAACCTGGAGCCAGATACTCAACTGACTATACCACCCAGGCGACCCTAACTTATTGTTTCTAAATGTTTACATGTGTTTTATTTTGCTATCTTCCAATATAAAACAATTATTATAATAAAAATATGTTCTGACTTTAATGTTTCAAGAAAAAATTTATTTTAAAAAACGTGTCTTTTTTAAAGATTTTTATTTATTAGAGAGAGAGAGAGAGAGAGCGAGCATGCATGTGCACATCCACAGGCGTGCATATATGTGTTGGGGGAGATGCAGAGGGACAGAATTTTGAGCACAAACTCCCCACTGAGTGTGAGTTCCAGTCAGGGCTCGATTCCATGACCTATGAGATCATGACCTGAGCCAAAATCACAGGTCAGATGCTTAACCGACTGAGCCACCCAGGTGCACCCCCCAAAAACATAGTTTTAACATAATTTTGCACAATAGGACACTGTTCTTCAAAATCCATTAAAAAAAGTAATCCTCTCCCAAACTCCTCTTCAATGACTATAACATCACCTGCCACACATACTTTCATCAAGTGAATATGGAGGAAGCAACAGCAGCGAATGCCATGAGCTCACCTCAGAGCACAGTCAGAACATGTATCAGAGGGGAATTTA